AGGATTTCTTTTCTGACTTACTCTAGAAATGTTTCGAGAACAATTATATCCAAATAGGAATAATATATTTAGGCAGAAGATCGAAATACCTATGGGAAGTAATTACTCAACCAACATGGCGAATCTTTTCCTGTTTTATTATATTAATCTAAACACATGAACACATGACCGTTTTACCTACAAATACATTGATGACCTCGTAGCAATTAACAATGCAAGAATACAGGCCGAAATCGAGAGAATCTACTCGTATTTGCTCTGAAGCAGTGTTTTCTTTTTAATAGTCTGCTCTCATACCAGAGGCTATGTGATGATGGTTATCAAAAAGATGTCCTTAGTAGGCTATTAAAACTTTTTTCACAACGATCCAAGTACGAACTTATAAAATACGCTCCTAAATGAAGGAAATGGTCTTGCATCCTTTTGGATAAGATTCATGGATATTCCCGAAGTTGGACCTGTAAACAGCTTGGATGTATGGCCCTTGCAGCCCAGGTGTGACTGCAACACAGACCCGGTGCATGAATACTGTACCAGTGATTGGGCTCTTTCCCATAACTTTTGATTTTATCCTAAGAATTAACTTATCCAGGTTGTCAGGGTTGGGTTATGTGTTATTCGCTTAATTTGCCTTGAGGCAAAGGCCTAGTTTAGCAGGGGCAATCCCGAATAATTTCTAGGTAAATTAGTAATCACAATAATTGACAAGGCAAGTAACATCTGTTTCATCTGCAAGTGGTTATATGGTTTGATTATGAAGAAAGAAATTACTAAAAGCCATAATATGAACAGGTTGAAGAAGGGCAAACCAGAATCGTAAGTTCCCTTATGAGACTTGATAGCAAATTTAACATTGAAGTGGAAGAGAAAAGCAAGAAACCCCCCTTTTGTTTGATAACCCTAAGTTCCATAAGAACCCCATTATATTTAGATTCAACGCAAGCTCAGTGGGCACCCGCTTCAAATGACGTCCCCTTCTATTGAAGGCCATCCTGGACAGGTTCTGCAATAAGATTAAGCAAAAAAGCAAAACCTGTCACTGTTACTGGATTATCAACAATAACAAAAAAGTTTGCTTGCAATTAAGGCTCTTAATGACACCAAATAAGCTTCTACTGTTATATCACAGGATTTCTCTACACTTAATGCTAAAATTCCTCTGGACCTACTAAATCATAATATTCTTGACCTTTTTGAAAATTATGTAGGAACAGGGCTTACCTTAAAATACACATTTGCGGACAAGGATTTCTTTTCTGACTTACTCAAGAACTTGAATGTTTGGAGAATAATTATATCCAAATAAAAATAATATATTCAGGCAGAAATACATATGGGAAGTAATTACTCAACCAACATAGCGAATCTCTATTTTATTATGAATCTAAACACATGAACGAGGTTTCTTTTCCCGATGATTACTGTTTTACCTACTAATACATTGATGACCTCGTAGCAATTAACAATGCAAGAATACAGGCCGAAATCGAGGGCATCTACTCGTATTTGCTCTGAAGCAGAGGGTTTCCTTTTTAAAAATCTGCTCTCATACCAGAGGCAATATGATAATGGTTATCAATAAGATTTCCTTAGAAGGCTATTAAAACTTTTTTCACAACGATCCAAGTATGATCATATTAAGTACGCTCCTAAATGAAGGAAACGGTCTTGCATCCTATTGGAGAAGATTCATGGATATTCCCGAAGTTGGACCTTTAAACAGCTTGAATGTACGGCCCTTGCAGCCCAGGTGTGACTGCAACACAGACCCGGTGCATGAATACTGTACCAGTGATTGGGCTCTTTCCATGACTTTTGATTTTATCATGAGAATTAACTTATCCAGGTTGTCAGGGTTGGGTTATGTGTTATTGAATTAATGTGCTTTGAGGCAAAGGCCTAGTTTAGCAGAGGCAATCTGGACACCGCTCCGATCCGTCAGCACAGAGCAATGTTGGCTGAATCCATGGTAGGCCTGCATTTTACCGGGCTACCCTCGTTTTTCTTTTTACTGCACAGGCCTGAGTCATTCCAAGCCATTCGGGGTTCCTTCTCCTGTGGACTCAGTCTTGTCATGAATTTCTGTCGCTAGTCTGGTCAAGCCCATTGATAGCCAGCAACGGTGCTGGCAGACGTACTCAAGCCCGGAATTCCCTCTGAAAAGCTAGGTATTGCCTGTCTGAATTAATCTCAAAGCTGTTATGCCTAACGGCAGAAACAGTCTGGATATAGTGTCATGCTAAGCTTGCTGCCTCAACCCCAAGGACGCAAGCTGCACGACAATTTCTGGGATTTTTCTTCACTGTCCTTCCTCTTTTAGCTTTATTCGGCCTTGTCCTTTTTTGCCGGCTTACTCCCCACAATCTAGTCATTCAATCTGTTATGTTTGGTTCTGGAGAGATGTTATTTCGTCGCCTAGATTGATTTGAGTGTTAATGGCACCACTGTTATTTCCCTATTTACTAAATATAAATATATATTCTAGTAAGTGCATAGATAGAAGATGTTTCAAAGCCAGGAAAAACTGCCACTCTTCAAAAAGTGACTGGAAGGGCAATGCGTTTACATTGCCCCCTCCCAAGTCGAATATAATGTGAAGGATGTATTAATACATGGACAGAAGGATAAGCCCTTGACCAGCCAGCCCAGCGACCGCGGAATCCTCCATGGTGGAGGAGGAATGGGAAAGTTTCAGGTACAGTCGAAAAACTCTTTGGAGTACAATGTAAACGGTAACCTTACTTCCGCGCGGACGGAGATATGATGTTTACTGGGAGCAAAAATCACGAGCGCTATTTGAGATCTCTGTCGATCTCCGTAAGCCTCTGCGGAAATTCCAAGGTCTCCAATGGTTCTCAACGTAGTGCTCCGTTGTTGCTTCCATAGGTGAATGGGGAGAAGTCTAAGACGTTCCTTCCGCCTTTGCACGCATTCCTCCTGCATTAATGAAGGCTGCCGGCGACAAGAAAACCATCTGCATCATCGGAGTGACCGGAAGCGGGAAGTCCACCCTCGGCAACGTCCTTCTCGGGAGACCAAGAAACGACCCGACCGGATTCAAGACCAGCGCCTACAGCTCCAGCTGCACCCTCGAGGTCGAGTCCCTCGACGGTCGCTGGCTCGGAAATGGTGACGCCATCCGCGTGATGGACACGCCCGGCCACGGAGACGCGGGGGGTCGCGACCAGGAACTCGGGAGAGAAATGGTGTCGTCGCTGGAAATGGAAGGGGCAGTGCATGCCTTCATCTGGGTGAAGAATTCCCAAAAACCAAGATTCGACTTGCTGGAGCTAGAGCATTTCGACATGTTGAAGGACATTTTTGGAGTCTCCTTTTACACCAACCTGATTGTAGTCTTCAGCAGATGGAGTTTCGATGCGAGACGAGAGAGACTCCGCCAAGACGAAGGAGTGACACTGGAAAAGGCCAAAGAAAGCCTCCACACCTCCCTCGCAGAACACTTCCCGTGGACCAGGGACCGCCCCGTGCCCGTGGCGGCCGTCGACGCTTGCTTCGCTGAGGACGATCCCGCAGAAGCGTCTGCCTTCCTAGCCGAAACGGCATCCCTTTGGCGGTGCATCGATCAGCTCGCCGCCAGACCTGTGGAAAGCGTTCAAACGAGGCGCTTCAGAGACCAGGAGATCGAACGGGAGAAGAATCGCCTCCGGCACCGAGCCGAAATGGCAAGGAGACAGCAAATGTCGGGAAACACCAGACGAGCCGAACCGGATGGACGATGCAAAATCCTCTGAAGGGAAATTCTAACTCCATCTTCTGCATGAGTTTTGTCCAACGTCAAAAATTTTCTCCTTTCACGCGCTTTCGGCGCAATTGCGTCAGATATTTTTATTCCATCGGCGTATTCATAGTAACGAAAAATCCTTTATTTCAATCACCCATCGCGGTCTCTCGCATATGCATAATGGAATAAAGAAAATTGCACGGATCCGACACCCTCTAATTGATAGCCTCTTGCTCCATTATTTTCAAGGTAGAGTAAATCATCGAGTTACAAAATAACGTTTGAAAAACGAGATCCTGTTCAACGAAGGGGTTTTATTAATTACTAGCACTATGGTGGCACCATTGGCTACTCATTGACGTAGGAATATAATAATTCACATGATATATCCATTTTGACCAATTTCATTAAACATTGGCATATTTATAAGCTCCGTCAAGTCAATTCCCGTTGTGTGACGTCAATGGCAAACTAACAAGCGGGGATCTTTGAGCTTCCAAAATTGGTCACGCCAAGAGGTTCTAATTGGCATTTTAGGTGTCTATACCCGTTCGAATCGTTTTGGAGTAAAAAATTTATTAAGATTGCGCTGCTTGGAAATATTCTGCCGTTTTACGAGACGTCGTGAAACGAACGCAAGTTCATTCCCGCACCGTGAAAAGTCGGACGGACGGGAGCGGCTCGAAACTTTTTTTGACCCCCTGATTAGTTTTGGGGAGGCCCGCTTCATCCATACTCTTGTGGGCCATTTCAAGATCTGAGAGAAGAACGTGGAATGCCTCGAGTGATGACACTACGCAGAAATCGAGTGCGCAGCAAAGATTGTTTTCGCTAAGCGCTGATGCTGAGAAACACGCAATCATCACTACGACAGGAAACAACTATGCGACGTAGATTGAAGGGGAGAAGTGGATGGGGAGGGGGGGGGAATTGTGTTGATATTAACCCGGCCTTCCCCGTTCGTCAAGAAGACGAGCGGAGCCTATCCCCGACGTTCTTCGTCGCAGTTGCGGCAGATGCAGTCCGGAAGCAGAGTCTCTGTCGTTTCGCTCCGGGCTCGGTTCGATGCAGGTCGACGGTATCTTCGCTGGTCATTCTATTTGCGAGCTCCTTCGCTTCCGTGGCGCTTTACACTTACGACGAAAGCTCTCGTGTGCACCTTCGACATCGAGCCCGATCGACGACCGTAACTCGTTTCGATGGTAGGAGTGATGCAGAAAATATTGTGAGCGTGCGGCGATCGCGTCACGAGCGTGAAAAATCTTTGCCAAAATCGCGTACCAGATCTTCACACGATCGCGTGCGAATCAAAACGATCTCTTTCATTCCGACCGCAGTTAAAAACCCCCTCGAGAGAGCAAAAGTATGGGTAACGCCCTCGAGTGCGACGGGGAAAACAGCCGGTGCAGCTTCCTCTTCGCCGAGAATCTCCGCCACGACCCGACGGTCACGGCGATCATTTGCGTGTCTTTCGCCGCGGTCTTCCTCGTCGGCCTCGTCGGGAATTTTCTCGTCCTGGCCGCAATCGCCCGCGACCTCCGCCTCCGGACGGTGACGAATCTCTTCATCGCCAACGTCGCTCTCGCCGACATCCTCGTCCTTCTGCTCTGCTTTCCCAACTACTTCCTCGGGGGAATTTTCTACGGTACGCTCGGTGTATCCAATTAACCGTCAGGAGGATTCCCTCTCGCGGAACCCCTTCTCACTCGTTTTTTTGTTCTAATTTTTTGCATGTCACTCCATTCAGAGCTTTAACTCTATCCTGCCATATTAGCTCGTACTAACACCGCTCGGATTATTTGTTGCTTTGGCTTGAAAGCGGAAAAAGTTGTAGGTATCAATTCCACGACTTAACGATGGCACGAATTCTCAAGTAAAGTTTACCAATCCGTGTGAGAACGAGCGACACAAAATCTGGGCAAATGCAGAACTGGGTCGACGTTGCCCTCTCCGACGCGAGAAGAGTGCGTTTTCCAAAAATAGATCAACTCGTGAAATACCTGGATGAGTATATTAGCTGCGTGATGCATTTCGCTTCGCAATTAACGTTGGAGCCCTGGCAGATTCAGAATCCTCAAAATCCATTCGCAGGAAGGTGGTTCCGTAGGTGAATTCGACATCGTTAGAAATTTGAAGAAATTGGATGTATTGGTATCCCTTTGGCCCAATTTATTACCTGCCTCGTTTTCTATTCATAAATAATATGCATTATGGCGCTAGACTAATTTCTATCTTACACTCCCTTAAAAAAAAAATTCTTTCTGGATTTGCAGAAGTGCCGTTGGCGTGGTTCCGGTGCAAGTCCTTGACGTTCATCCAATTTACGTCGACGGCGGTATCCGCACACAGCCTCGTCGCTATCTCTACCGACAGGTCTTCCTCCTATTTCGAGAGTCATTTCGTGTATTGTGCAATTTTATTATGATGACGATTTCCGATCTCATTAAGTAACGGGTCGTCGCGTATGGAAACCATACCAAGTCGGTATTCGCAGATATCTCTATAGGTCGAGTTTGTCTTTTGGTCTCAAGCAACGCGTCGCAACATCCCCCCCCCCCCCCCCCCCCAAAAAAAAAATAAATAAATAAATAAAATTATTAATTACTAAATGTTATTGAAATACATAATGCGCAAGACCTACGATGTTTGAGCGATTGCTGCACAGAGCGCTGCCTGAACTCGGGAATACCTGAAAATGCTACTCGCATAGCCGAGGCCGACTCGGAGTTCGTGGATATCTTTCACGGATCGGCTGGTAATTTGAGTCACTCAACCCACCTTTGTATTCATTTGTATTTTTTTTCACATTTATTGACGGTTTTTTTTTTTGAAGATTGAATCGAATGAAAAATTTTTGCGCAGGAAATCATGTCGAATGGATGACCGATAACTGTAGACGAAGAGGAAAAAGAAGTAAAAGACGTTCCTTACTGTGCAGGTTCCTGGCTATTTTCATCCCGTCGCGGCCGCAGATGACGAAAAAGACGACGGCTGTCTGGATAGGAGTCATTTGGCTTCTCTCCGGCTGCATTTACATCCCATTCCCCATCTACAATGAGGTTCGTTCCTTTCTATTTACCTTCACCGTGTTTCCTTCTTATGGGTTTCTCTCACGTTCGTACCACCGACCGGTATTCAACTGTCCAACGACTTTGGACCGACGGTCATTCATTGCATGGCTTCTTTTCAAATCTCAACCTGCCGACCGAAATGCCAGCACACTGCACGTGTGGAGAGACATTGGGGCATTTTCCCTCGTCTCAGAAGTCTTAGTTTTCTCTTTTCTTGTCTCTTTGCAATAGCAGACTCATTACTGCAGGCTACAATTCGGGCGATACGTTCAGTGAGCATTGAGTTTAAACATCTTTACGATTAAATTTTTGCACTCAATTAACTGCTAAGTTTCTTCATTTGTTATATATTAGGAACAAGAATTGTCAACTCGAAAAAGCTTTCCACGAGCCCATATTTTATTTTATCATGACTAATCATTAGACATATTGAAACTCCAGGGTTGATGCAAATTTAAAAAAAAGGTAGTGCAACATTTGCATTCCAAGGTTGCAAAAGCCCTTCTGCAATACGGCTCTTTAATACTGTAAGAGGAGGAATTGATCAATAAAGCATTAAGCAACAGGAGGCCTGACGTTATGACACGAGACTTTTGCAGGGTCTCGAGTGGACAACAGAGGAATGGATACCTTTCTTTCGAAATGGCAGTCTCTATTTTGTAGAATTACGATAGCTAACTTCGTCGTGAAAACTCACCATCTCGATGCACGAAGAGAGCAGTACTCACTTGGACTCTCCATGCAGATATCGGAGGTGGGAGAGTTCTGCATTACCGCGTGGCCGGTGCTGGGAATGGAAAGGATGTACATCTTCGTGGGGACTGTGGTCTTCTGCAACCTTATCCCCTCGATCCTCACCTTCCTCTGTTATCTTGCCATATGGATGGAAGGTTCCTGGAGGCGAATCCCGACAGGCACCAGAGACCCGACCGTATCCCGGGTGCAGCAGAGGCCGGAGGAGGGGCCAGTATTAAAAGTGTTCGTAGTCGTCAGCATCGTCTTCTTCCTCTTCTGGGCTCCGTTTCACTTCTTCCTATCTTTTCCCGGAAGCTTGTTCTTCATATACATGAACGTCATCAATTACATGCTTTTCATCGCCCTGATGTTGGGTCTGTCCAATTCGTGCATCAAGCCGATCCTCTATGCCTGTCTCAACAAGAAGTTGCGAGACGGCTTCCTGGCCGTTCTCCAAAGCTGCAGGTATTGTAGAACTCAGAGAACAGATGATAACTCCCCGGCATTAGCGCTGAACCCATGGGAGCAAAGGGGAGCATGTCCTTCCAATGATATTATTGGAGAAGCAATGCCCCCATCCCCCCGAAATACAGCTTAAGTATGGAACTTCGGACATGCAACATAATGCCCTCCTCTATTGATTTCTTTTTCTTTTTCTTCCCCCAATAAGGATAAGGATGACCTCTTCCCCGACTTAGTCGCATCCCTACATACAAGACGTACAAGTACGGCTGATTGTCGTACTTGTACGTCTAGCAGGAAAGGAATTGGCAGGTAGGTCAAAGAACACGATTGCTGTCTGATGTTTATATGGGCCTGGTTTATTCAGAGACTACGGATGACTACAGGTTCTATGAGATTCAGGGGCTGTTCGAGAGGTACAAATCTTGTAAAGATGCGAAGTCCAAATGACGTCTCGCCGTCTTCTTCCAATTCCTCCTAACTTTCGGGTCTCGGGGGAACCCAGGGTCCCGTCCTCGTTCAGTCGCTGCAACGAAATCTCAGGTAGAATCGAGCTTTACTCAAATGGGTGCCAGCCTCAAGTGAGGAGTCGATTAACCGGTGAAATTCTAACGTCTGCAGACACCTAGGTCCAGAGGCCTTCGTATCTGTAAGGAAAGGGTTCACCGGTGCTACAATCCGGTAGCACTTCCGCTCAAGGTTTGGATCAAACCGAGCCCGCCAGTCGATTAACAATTGGAATTCTGCCGTCTGGAGACACCACGGTCCCGAGGGAGTCCTTCGGAGTCGTGGATCCTACACCGTCGTAGTACGTCCTGGCTCGAGGTTCGAGTGGAGGTCAAACCGAGCAGGTGGTACGTACGTCGATGTCCACAGAGCTCGAGGTTCGTGACCCGCGGACAGATTGGCGGCCGTTTGCTCACAAATGGAGCAGCGACTTCTGAGCCGCTCCACTTCCTTTATGGGTAGATCCACGAATGGAATCGGGACAACCGAGCTCTGGAGGAATCGTCTAGCCAGACTCTTGGCAGGCTCAAAACCATAGAGAGGGAGATCCTAGCTCGAGCTGCCTGAATCGTGCAAGCGACCGACTGCCTCCTCGAACTGAAGACAAGGGGTTTTTATACCGGGGAGGATACCATGAAGTTCAGTCATTTTTTACCGTTACCATGATTTGGTAAACAGTGACAAGGGGACATGCCAACCACACGTGCTGATCACGTGATCCTCTGAGAGTTGGCGCCCATATATCCATTATTACATGTTTGCGTATATACATATATACCTAGTTCCGCCATAAATACTGTTACAAGATTTTTCATGTTCCTTGCATTCTAGCGAAAGAAGCTAGAAACTTGTAACCTGGTAATCGTCTAGTGT